AAATCAACGTCAGCCCACCAGCCGCCGAGCGGTAAAAGTCGCTGAACACTGGTAGTTCGGTCCGAGGTTCGAATCCCGCGAACGGGCTGGCTGCATGGGGTTTTCGTGGTTTTCCTCATGTGTAACGTGTATACGAGCCAGTTTCCCTTAGAAAGTCCTCCACGAAGGCATCCCTTCCCTTAGGCATATAGCCCAAGTGTGCTTTGCCATAATTAAATACACCACCACACCACACCAAAATCAACGTCATTAGAAGCTTATCAGCCAAGTAATAATTATTATTTTTAAAACATTGTCCTTGATTTAATGTCAGTATATTTGATTCCTTTTCGCTAAGGAATATCATGGTTTCTGATAAAGAAAAAGCCAGTCCAGTGAAACATTCTCTAAAATATTAGAGTTTTATTTTGGGGAGAAAAGATTGCTAGAATAGTTTAGATACAATTTATACAAGCATAAGAAATCGGAAAATAATTATTCTTACCTGCGCGAAATTTTCCTACAATAATCGCTGTACATTTGTAGCATCCGTTGATACGAATGTTAAATACACCGAATCAGACACCTGCTCATTAAAAATTATAGGCACGTAACCTGTAATGAATCATCGAAGGAGACGAGATATTTGCGGCTTCAGAGTTGAGTGATACATGATAAAAAATCAGTCGGCCGACGTCTATTTGGAAATATTTTAAAAATAAATTCGACATAAGATATTTATATTTTAATTTTTTAATATTTTCAATTGTCTGTCCACTTTTTATGATAAAATATAAATTTATAAAAACCAACTTGTGGTTCATTTAAAAGGCCTCTGTGAGTCAGTGTATAACCCGCGGGTCATAGGTTCGCGACCGCTGGCTTACACGTAGTATTTTGATTTACCTTACGTTAGAATAACATTCATACCGTTACAGCGTTTATTCCTGAACACTAAATGCTTGATGATCATTTTTAACCATAAATTACCGACAGATTTAAACAATTCCCTCCGATGGGATATAAAGCCAAGAAATCGTGTTTGGTTGTTTGTTTGTGGTATATCCCATCGGTTGGAAAATGAGACAAGGTTTAGGAACCCATGGATCGTGGACTCGTGGAACTCCGAAGAACAACTCCAGGACAGGAGAGCAGCTGGCTCCTCAAGCAACCAATGCAAGATAAGCTCCGGGCAGGAGTGACTCGGGTACATTCGTACAAATAGCATAAAAATTGGCTGCAAAGGAGCTTTATGTATGGATGAATAAAGTTCGACCGCCTCATCCGCGACCATGAGAGCAAACACGCATGCGCCATTAGGACCGTATTATTCTCAAAATTGATGAATAAAGGGTGGAAGGATGGGGACTTTCTTTCCCTCCAGTATAGCTCTTTCCGGAGAAGAGAGGACCTTTCACATCGCAGCAAGTAATACCGCCCCTTTTGGACGATTCTATGTGTTTTGGCAGAATGCCAACCAGGGTTGCGCTTGAGACGGTCGAACTATAGGAAGTCAAATGATTAATCGAGAAATGGCGAATGATGCCTTGGATGATCTTGTAACACAAGTCGATAGTGAAAGCAATGATAATGAAGAAGTAATTAAAGTGATTTTAATTTTGAAGAAATTAAACGATTTATTGATAAAGGAACAAGAATTGATTCTGAAATGACGACTGAACCAAATGAAAGAAAAAAAGGAGACTTTATGAGCAGCATTGAAAAACAGAGTTTAGGTTGTAGAGACATTAGGTATTTTTTAAAGGAGTGATCAAGAATGAGCAACGTCTTCGCCGGGAATCGAACCACGGAGCGCCCAGCATACAGACAACTACACCGTGAAGGCACGCTAAGAAGGCGGAAGAAATATCTTACATACTCCCCTTTTTAAAGGGCGACTGGGGTTTTTAGGGGACCTAATCGACAAATCCTGGCTGTGGAGAATCATCATCCATCACCCTTTTAGGTCGGGCACTACTGTAGAGACGTTAGGTATTTTGGAAACAGGAGAGATGAAGAATGAGCAACGCCTTCGGCGGGAATCGAACCTCGGACCTCTGGACTACGCGCCCAGCGTGCAGACCACTACACCACAACGCTGCGCTAAGAAGGTGGGAGAAACACCTTAAAAGGTTTCGAAATAAGTACGTCACCAGCGTTACGCAAGCTTTGGCATAGATTTATCTAGAAATGATGCAGTCCAGAAATGCTATAATTATTTTTAGAATAAAGAGGAAATAACCAAATTAAAAATGAGGAATTAAGAAGCTATTATTAAATTAAATAATAAAGTTGATTTACATTTTTTATCTTACGTATACATATGTTTTGAACGGCCGATTGCAACCAAAAGGAGAGGTGCACAACTACATTTTATGGCAATCCCATGTATAAAATTTCAGGGTTGAACGGACACTCATTTTTGACTTATGCGAGCTACATTCATACGTACATACATAGGTATAGACGTCACATAAAAATCCTTTCTGAATCCATTTCCAATTCGGTTTGGAAAAAAGAGTAATTTTTTCTGTCCGTACGATCAGATATCAAGCAAAACAATCGTTCAAATGGACTCGAGAGCAGTCAGAATGGATATTTGCGTTCAAATATGGTATCCGAAATTTTTCGCGATTATAATACATCCTTTGCTTCGTACAAGGAAGTAAAAACAAAGCGATTACTAATTGTTTTATTTATATGTGACAAAAAATGAGCAGACAATAATAACAAAGATGATGAGAATAAAGCCTGTTATGATTTGTTTTAAAAGAAAGCGCCTTTTGTTATGGTAAACTGAAGTAAAAGCTTTTTAAATTCCTTCGAAACACGTTTAAGCTCTTTTTCTTTAAAATAATGTCACTGTTATACTATAATTTACCACTTCTCCGAACCTTCTCTTGCAAATTCTGATCGCTTTACAGCATTCTAATGCATATTAATTGCATGTTTAAGCTGTCTGAATTTGGAAAACACATGCAAATTTTACGGCATTGTTATAAACCCCGTGTTCTCTAACACACAAAAAGAAAGACGATTAATTAACTCTTAGGAAAATGGGAAATCTTTCATACATGAAATCCCAGCCTATTCATGAGGTAATTAGTGATAATAACTTTTAATGTAAATCGCATTTTGAGATTGTTTAAAAGTCTTTCCGAATATAGCATAGTTTGGGGGTTTGAAACTTCGACTCGGAAAGGGAAGGAGTTTTATAATTCTCTGCAAGCAAAGGTTTAGAAATGTGTTTTCCGGGAACAACAGGATTATAGATCACATTAGATGTTTGAGACATTTAATTTCTCAGTTTTAAAACGCAACATTCAATTTCATTAATTCGGAATTTAAAAGTTATAAGGTATTTTCTCCTTTCTTTCCGCATGCCTTCGTCGTGTAAATGGAAGTACCTTCGACGCGTATTCGAGAGGTCCGGGGTTCGAGATCCGGCGAGGGCACTGCACATTTCTCACATCTCCAGTTTCAAACAAACCTAATTACTCTACAAGTAGCGCGCGAAATAAAAGGTAGCAGACGATAATTCTTCAACACCAGAATTTGACGACTGGGTGCCCTAATCCCCAGTCGCCCTTTAAAAAGGGGGGAGTATATAAGATATTTTCTCCCTCCTTCTTTCCGTATGCCTTCGTGGTGTAATTCAAGAGATCCAGGATTGAGTCCTGGCTAGGGGATTACACTATTTTCACGTCTCCTGCTTAAAAAAAAAAAAAAAAACCGAATGTCTCAACAAAGTTATTTTAAACCGGCCGGCGGAAGTGACGTCACAGAAAAGGGGTGGGGTCACCGTCATCTAGGATCACGTGACAACCGGAAGCGACGTAGATTAATCGAATGACGTCATGTATACTTTCGTTTTCATGGTGTGGCAACTATTTTATGTTCTCAAAGTTTTTATTTTTTGTGGCAACGAACAATTTTTGTGTTTGTGGCAACGCGTTCTTGTTATTGTAGTTACAAAGTTAGTCTCAACAAAGTTATTATAGTTCAAACAATGTATATTCAACCCAAAATCGCAACACGCAAAATCTTTGAGAATATAGATATTTGTAAAAATTTGAATGTATCTATTGGAAGTAAGTTATTTAAATTCAATCCAAAATTTCGACTTTTAGAAGTTTAATTTTTAAAAAGGTTAGTCTTTTAGAAGACCTCGAGCCATTGACAGATTTCTTCAGTTTTATTCCTGGTGAATGAATGAGCTGGCTGTATAAAGATTTTACGGTTTTCTTTACTTCTGATACAAATGCGGGCTATTTTCTCTTACAGAGTTCTTCACGAAAGCATTTCTTCCCACACGCAAATAACAACAATTTCTTTGCAGTAATCGAGTTCCTTAAAATTTAAAGCCTAATATTATGAGTTACATTTAATACATAACCTCATTACTAAATTTTATTCAAGCGACGAATTGTCAAAAAAATCATTGATTTAAAACGAAAGATAAAATATGAATGCTCAGGAAATTATGCTTCTAATGAATTACCGAGATTCTGCAGCCTCTATTCAAATAACACATTTTATTTGCATTTTATTGCAAACTAATACTAAATTTGGACATCTTAATAAATGAAACTTGTGCGTATCTCTCGCATCAAAATATATTTATTAAAACGTGAAATATACTTAAACGTACATTAAATATCGCACAAAGAAACCTACTTGAGAAATCTAGTTTTCACCCGGATAATTTCGTTATCGTGGTATTTATGCACATTATATTTAAATAACATAGCGAGAAAACTTACTAAGCATTTTTTTTTTACATCTTAACACAGACGAATAATGCCAAGCATAACTATTCTCTATTCTATTATTTCTTTGCAGTAAATGAGAAAATTGGTTACCTTAAAACTCATCTAAGAATAAAAGAAAGGCATAAAGAAATTGTTATTTCGCTAATTATAATATTATTTCCATATTTTTAAAAACTTCTCTGTTCATTAACTACCTCTGCAAGAAAGTGCACTTTTAAGTCTCATAACTCATTTATCTGTTAAGATTACCTGATCCAGGGCTAGTTTGAGTTCTGCAGACTGTTGTTGTCCAGCCAAGACCATATCTCTACTGAAGTCGTGCATGCTCAGGTCATTGATGTAAAGGCCCGTGTGTACCATGGCGTCCAAATCACGCATTCTAGATAAAAGGAAATACAAATTAGTGGCTCCTGAAAAACTTTCGAAATATCTTTAAGTGTCTTTTAAGAATGTAATAGTTTACTGCTTATCCGAGAAAGGGACCATTGGTAAAAGTTTACAATTGGGTGCCCCTTGTTTATTGGCGATTCTTTTTTGACGCCAAGGTCGGCGCCAGGAAACCACAATTTCAAGATGGCCGCTACACAAAACCAAAATAAGAAGTCGAAGAATTGCATAAGATCTGTGTCCATGTACACATCGATCTGTTTTTACTTAAAAAAAAACATCCTAGAATTGCACAAACTAGGCATTGCGCACTGCCTTAAATATGCCCATGTACACATCAATCTATTTTCATTTAAATAAAATCGGGAAGCTAAAACAAAGTTAAAACTATCGTGATAACCAGAAGTGAGGTTTCATCGCCAAAATTTAAAAAAAATGTCGCCAATCGAAGGGGCACCCAATTCTACACTAAAGCCGAGTTATTAATCTCGAAACGAAATTTTGCATCTGTTCACTATAAACGGTTAATCACTTTCCAAATTGCTGTCACCAAATATTATGTCCTGTATTATTTTTAAAGAAATTTGTAAGATATTTTATCCATTCTTCCAGCATACCCTTCGTGGTGTAACGGCAGCACACACGGCGCGTATTTCGAGAGGCCCAGGTTCGAGTCCCGGAGAGGGCATTGCTCATTTGTCATATTTCTAGCTTCAAAAATTCGTAATGTTTCTAGAGTGGCGCCCGAAATAAAAACATGTTAGATAATAAACCTTTACCACCAGGATTTGGCGATTGGGTCCCCTAATACCTTTAAAAGGGGGAGTATATAAGGTATTTTCTACCCCCTTTCGGCATGCCTTCGTGGTGTAACAGTAGCACACTCGGGGCGTATTCGAGAGATCCAAGTTCTGGCGTTCATGTTTCCAACTTCAAAAAATCCTAATAACTCTACAAATTAAATAAAGAAGAATCTGCAAGTACGTAGGTAAGTTCCTCGCATTACGAAAAAACGTCATTACCTAGGGCCATCCAATTTTGAATAACGTAGTTCTCCACCCGAACATGTGCACTTAAAATCCCGAATTTTGAATTCCAAATTTGCTTTATTATCTATTTCGTATTTTGTAAAACTTTAATAAAATTTTGATTAACAATCTCAACGATTTGGAAGCGAACAGAGGCTATAAGAAGGAAACATTTTTACCTCTAGCGCGCGAGACTCTCTATCGGAAATAATAAAGCTATGCTGTTTTTAAATATTCTATAATTTTGACACTGGATTGAATTTTATATGGAGTGAGTGCGAAAAACATGACATTTAATAAATGAATTTAACACATAAAATGTTAATAATAAAAGGCCAAAAATGTTTGGCGCACCATCTTACTAAGAAAACGGATAAATTATAACGGATAAAATATATGCCAACAATTAACTTTGCATTGAGAATTATAAACATATGCTTCTTATATGCTTACTGTTGAATTGTATATGGTGTATGTGCGAGAAAAACGATGCTTAATAATAAATAAAGCTCAAAAAACAAAACAAAAAATGGATTAACAAGAGTGAGAGCGACAGCAGACTGGTAGACAGCGAGCTCATCGAAAGCGTAAAAATATATAAATAACCTTTTTTGGGGGACCGTTAAAATCTGAAACCTTTCACATTTTTTTAAATCTCTTTCTAAATTAATTATAAGTAATAATTTTATAAAATCCTCTCACTCTGATTCTCGATGTTATTATTATACAATTATACAGGCTATTAGCCCATTTGTGAAGACGGAGACTTACCCGAAAAGGAATAAGATCACTAAAAAAAAAAAAAAAAATCCGGAAGCTTTCAGATTTTATACAACGAAAAAGAAGCGTTTTATTAAACGTTTTGTGTGTTACCTTTATTTATTAAATATCATGTTTTTCGCGCTTAAACCATCAACTCAATTCAACGGCAATATCTCAAAATAATTTAAAAAGAGCATATCTTTAGAATTTTTGATACACAGTCTCGCACGTTGGAGATAAAGATGTTTTCTTTTTTCCGTACAGTGTTGCCATTGCTCGCTTTGGAATCGTTGAGTTTCTTAATCAAAAACTCATAAATGCTTTACGAAATATGAAATAGATAATAAAACAAATTCAAAATTTGGGCTTCCAGATGCCCATATTCGGGTGGAGACGTACGTTATTCAAAATTCGATGGTTCTAGGTACCGTTGCTTTATCACAATGCAAGAAACATACATACATTTATGCAGATTCTTCATTATTTAATTTCTTCAAAATATAGATATTATTATTTAATTTCTTCAAATATAGATATAGCGATAATATTTGGTGGGAACAATTTAAAAAGTGATTCGCCGTTTATAGTGAATCAACGCAAAATGCCAAAACGAAATTAATAGCCCTTCTGGGCCAACGCCCTGTGGGCTAAAAAAAATTCAAATATAGTGCATTGCTTCCTGCATCAAAGCTCATAGTCAATATGAATGGTTGGCATAAGTCCCTTCACCTTGCTTAACATCGTCAGGCTAGTTATTCTTGCAGTGTTAATAGAAGCAAAGATAAGGGAGATTGCAAAAAATGAGCAACACCTTCATCGGGAATCGAACCACGGAGCTCTGGAATACTCGCTCAGCGTGCTGACTACTACACTACGAAAGCATGCTAAGAAGGCGAGAGAAATACCTTATATACTCCCCTTTTAATGGGCACCAAATCCTGTGTGCGGAGAATCATCATCCATCACCCTTTTTAGTTCGGGCGCCACTGTAGAGACATTAGGTTAATTGGAAGGAGGATTCATGAAACGTGAGCAAACGCCTTCGCCGGGAATCGAACCACGGACCTCTGGAATACGCGCCGAGTGTGCCGACCAGTACACTACGAAGGCATGCAAAGAAGGCGGGAGGAATACCTTATCAGACAAAGTAAATTTTATATAATAACAAAGAAAAACAAGCAAAGGTACTTTAAATAAATCCAGATAAAATTTTAAGCAGCATATTATTGCGCAGATTTATTTATAGATAAGAAATAAGTTCTTGTGGATAAATTCGGTAACATTTTTTCGCCTTATTTGAAGCTTTATCATGGGGTTAAACAGTAATGACCATTTAAAATGAAAATGCAGCTACAGAAATTTCTAGTTATTTATAAGAACGATTCAAAAAGATTCATTCATAAGGATCGAATCGTGATCGAATTTTCCATATTCTGAGGTCTTAACCACTCGATCGCTGATGTTTCGTGAGTTTTATAACACTGGTAACTGTTTCCTTAGAAAATACTCCACGAGTCACGTCTTCTACTTTTCAGCTAGTCTTAATGTGCTTTGCTTTAACTAAATGAACTTATTTCTTATCTACAAATAAATCTGCGTAATAATATGTTGCTTAAAATTTTATCTGGATTTATATAAAGTACTTCTGCTTGTGGGTTTGTTTTTTTTTTTTTTTTTTTTTTTTTTTTTGCTATTATATAAAATTTACCTTGTAATATAAGGTAGTCCTTCCGCCTTCTTAACACGCCTTCGTAGTGTACTGGTTAGCACGCTCGGTGCATATTCCAGAGGTTCGTGGTTCGATTCCCGGCGAAGGCGTTACTCACTTTTCATGAATCCTCCTTCCAATTAACCTAGTGTCTCTACAGTGGCGCCCGAACTAAAAAGGGTGGTGAATGATGATTCTCCACACACAGTATTTGGCGACTGGGTTTTCTAATACCCAATCGCCCTTTAAAAGGGGGAGTATATAAGGTATTTCTCCCGCCTTCTTAGCATGTCTTCGTAGTGTAGTAGTCAGCACGCTGGGCGAGTATTCCAGAGGTCCGTGGTTCGATTCCCGACGAAGGTGTTGCTCATTTTTAAAGACTCCTGCTTCCAAATAACCTCACGTCTCTACAGTCTAAAGCCTTAATACTGCGATCTCATTCAAAATATAGCTTTCCCAATCAACAAAGCGAAACTTACATTTTCTGATAATTTTGTAGAGTAATTAGGTATTTAATTATTAACAGGAGACATGAAAAATGAACAGTGCCGTCATCGGGGTTCGAACTAAGGATTTCCGGATTGCTAGTCGACCGTGCTTCTAATTACACCACGAAAGCCTACGACAAAGGAGAGAGAAAATACCTTGCTTGTGTATTTCTTTTCCTTGCAGTTTTTCTATTATGGTATAATCAGCAAAATCTGGAAGTACGAGTCGCGTGAATAAGTACACACGCTTCCAACCTTTTAGCTTGATCTTTTAGTCTTATCGATTATCTACTACTAGTAACTTTCAGATCATCTTTAAACTTTAAGCTATGAAACTATTCTGTGCTTGTATTAAGGAATTCTGAAAGTAAAAGTAACCTCTTCTTTATATCAGCTTGACAGAAAGGAAAAAGACTTCCCGAAAATCAGAAATAGGATTTTCCTTTGATAGCTAAGTAAGGATTTATTTATCAAAGACGCTAAGTATACCCAAGACGGAAGGAGCAAAACAATATCGAAAAAGATCTTACCGAAACCCATTAAGAAGAATATTGCTGCTGTTTTGTTTTTTTCTCGCTCCGTGATGCCATTCTGCATTTAATCCTCGTTTGTTTGGCAGCAATATCATAGTTTTCTTTACATGAAAGAAGATTGCTTTGTTCCTCTCTGAAAATCTTGTAAATGATCAGTCATAGAAGAAAATAAGAAGCACAAGCGAAATTTTTGTGAAGTAGTTTTCAAGACTAAACATGTTTACAGCAGGTTGAAAGGTAAATTAAACTGAGTCAAAAATACCGATATTTTGCTCTCTTTATCAGACTTTCAATATTATAATCGGACTTTAAGTTTCTTTTATAACAAATTTTCTACCACTTTATACAGTTTGTTAATAATAAAGTAATAAGAAAGTTTACTTTCACCTCCAATTCTTCTATAATAAAATCCTAGACATTTTTACTTCCTTGTACGAAGTAAAAGGGAAGTATTGTAATCGCGAAACGTTTCA